ACACCACCATCTGTCCTCTATGTCTGTGGCTAACTTTACACTCTTATCTTCAGGCAAGCTTTATTAGATCATAAACAAAATATCACCATATTTCCCCTTTTTGTCTAAAATAAAAAGAGGATTATAGCTAATAGAAGAAAATCTATATAAAATAAGTACAATAAATACATAGAGTATGTAAGCAATAAATAAGCACATAAATAATGTCTAATCCATTTGCATTTGATAAATTTGGAGAAAATACTCAATTATCAATTCTAATTTAATGAGTCCAAATGGTTGTACCTAGTTCAATTTCTATTCTAAATTTTCTTCAAATTATCTTGTAATATCTCTCAAACTTTTACACTTTACACCTGTTACTGAGTTCCTTGTAATCTCTCTCAACCTTTTACACTTCACACCTGTTAGTGAGTTTCTTTTCTGAGTCTGGTAAACAAAGAATAATATAACTATGACTATCAAGTCTTCAACTCCCTCAGAGACCTGAGAAGAAAATAATATTAACTGAGTAAGCAGGTAGTGCAAGCAAGTGACATCCAAAAAATGTGAAAAATTACAAAACAGCTGTCTGCCTTAATAGGTACCCCAGGGTCCTCTGTAAAGTTGGGCATCCATATTTGGTATTCAGGCCTAGAATATTCAATAGACATTTCTATGAAGCAGAATTATTGAAGGGCTGATCCACCCGGTCTTTGCAAGTTTTGGCAGTCACTCTCTTTTTGGCCTGTTTGAACAACATACTGTCCAGACCTTGAATAAGATTAGAAATATATGAACAGTATGTTTTAACAAAATTAATCTAAAATTTGTATCAATTCTAAAATTTGAATACAATATATAAAAGTCTAACAATGTAAAATATTTAAACAAGTATTTGCATTTTAAAAGTAGATTCGATAAGCTTAATTTTTATCCTAGCATATTGTACTCCCCTTTTTCTTTTCAAAAAAGAACCTGATTCTAATTTCCTTTGTTTAGATTTTTCCCTGACCATTATCAATAGTTACTTGTAACCAATTTCCATAAACAATAACAAGTATCCATAACCCAATGAACAACCAAAAGCCATCCACTCCAACCCTTTGGAATGTGGCTATCATGTTCTTGAATTGCTTCCTGCTATCTGTAGGTTATGGCATCTTTAGGGGAGCCTAAAAAGAAAAATTATGGTTAATTGTCAAGCCCTGGGAGAGGTAACTCTATTATTTGTTGTCCAGTCTCTGTATAATGTGAAAGTGCAGGGCTTGTCTCAATTTCTGGCTAGAACAATGTATGAGGCTGGATCATCTCAGCTAGCTATCTTGAAATTGTTCTGAGCAGTGCATGTTGGGCTGGATCATCTCAGCTAGTAGCCACCTTGTAGACCAAAGCCAATCTTTAGTAGGTATTTGTCATCTTAGTGGTATTATCATAGCCCTGGTAAAATTATCGTGGTGGGGTCCCATTCTGTTGGAGATTTCAAAGGTTGCTGTTAGGTTGTGTCATGGTTCACCACAGAAAGCTGCTAGAGACTCGGGACCAAAATCTTGTACAGGAATGTAGATGATACCCTTTTCTAAAGTTTGTTGGTACTCTGAATATGACCATTAATATCATGGCTAAAAATTAAAAATACATACATATATATCTTATACATTTTTAGACAGCATTTATACCTTAAAAGACGCTTCAATGAGTCCAAATAATACCAAAGGACTATGAGATTAGTAGCAATACTAATGGTCACTTAATTTTTGTTTTTCTTATATCCCATATCAGTTGAGACAAAGATTTTGGTTTCACTTTAACAAGATTGCTTGGATTTAGAGAAGGAAAGAACCACACTCCCAACTCCAATATCTGCTTTAATCTTTAATTTAACTAGGGCTCCAAAAAGACAATTTGAATTGCATATCTGTAGGGAAATGCAGATGAAATATTTGGGAAGATTTATGTAATTTTATCATGTTAGAATGTGATATACCAATAAGACAATTTACTCTTTTTATGGGAAATATTGTTCTTGATGATTTGTCCTCTTTCTTCAGATGTCTCATTTTTTCCATTAATCATCAGATTCATTAGCCTTCTTTCACCTGAAAAGGCAAAACAAAAACTTTCCCCATCACTAATTCTGGGGAGGCTCTATTTTTGCAAAATATATCTGATCAAATGAAAATCATTTGTCAGTTTTATAGGTTAGTTCAGATTAAATGTCCATGCACTTGAGGAATTGCCATCTCTTCTAAGTAAGAGTTCTCTCGTGTTCAAATAGAATCTTTATTGCTTTTGATGGTAGTCATAGCTTTACTTCTCCTATGTAAACAATAGCAAAACCCCTCCCATCCTAACATGTATCGTGGTTTCCTTTCTGAGATCAACACATATGTAAAGTATACTGGCTGATTTAATTCCATAGTTTTTTTTCTATTATCCAATGTCTCTCCACAGCTGTTGTTCCTTTCTCATTTTCATCTAAAAATTCAAAATTAATAAACCATTTTCCCACACATTTCTGAGGGTCTTTATTATCTCTTTATGTTTATTCAGAGTATCCTTTAGAGTTTGATTTGATCTATCTATAATTACCTGCCCTGAAGGATTGTGTGGTATACCATAATATGCTTCATATTTTAATAAGCAAAAATTGTTTCATTTTCTTAGGGATATATGCTGTAGTATTGTCTGTCTTTATTTGAGCAGGTATACCCATAATGGCCATAGCTTCTAGCAAATGTGTAATTTACTGAACTCGCCTTCTCACAACTCAAAGAGGGTGTGCATTGAACGGTGTGGTGTACATATATTAATTTTCCAAATCCTACAAAATGTAAAACATTCATCTGCCAGATTTAATCCCTTTGAGTATCCTTTGGGGTTACTTCCTGCAGGTAGTGGAGTTTGGTTATATAATGACCAAGTAGGACATTCATTTTTTTTGCATTTTTTCATTAAATTATTAATATTTTCACATGTACTTTCCCTCCTTGGCTTGTTGCCATGTGAAGGAAAAGTCTTTTTTCAAACGTTAGCTATTGACATGGCTTTTTAAATGAATTTCTGAGGCCTATAGAACATTTCCTCTTAAATAGTTGATCAGTTTCATCATTGCTTTGTGCTAGAGGACCTAGTAGATCTGTAAGGGATCAGATATGTGTTAGATATATGGGATGATTCCTATTCCTGATTATGTCTTCTCTCTGAATAAATAATAAAGTCAATTGTGTATCACCTGATATAAATTCAGTGGTTTCAATATACAAAACAACTCTTTATGCATATTGCAAATCAGTAACTGTTGAAAGGTTCTGTAAAATCCATTAATACCAGGAGAATAGCATATAATTCTGATTTTGGGCAAATTATAAGGATATAGACCATTTTACTTAAGTTTTTGATTTGTAACCTGCCTTTCCAGATTTATTTGCATCAGTATAGAATGTAGATGCTCTACTTCTTGGTGTTTCTAGTACAGTGTGAAGAAGGATTCAGTTAGCTCTCTTTATAATTTGAATTCTCTTGCTTTTAGAATATTCATTGTTAATCTCTGCCGAGAGATTACTATAAGCTCTTTGCCAGGGCACACTTTCTGCCTATAATTAAGCAATTTCATCTTTATTAAAAGGTATCACAATTTCTGCTGGGTCTATTCCTGCTAATTGATGACATTTCAATTTTCCTTTTAGAATTATCTCAAAGACCTTTTCCACAACAGTTTTTAATATTTTACTCACTTTATAGGGTAAAAACATCCATTTTATGACAATATATTTCTTCTGCATTAAAATTCTGGAGGGGAATACTTGGAGGTTAATATGACCAAAGATCCACAATCCATGTGTGCCATCTGTAATTTTCTTTCAACAAAGTCAATTATCTTCCCCAGCTTCAGTTGTTAATTTCCGGGCACTAATTATTATGCATTTTCAAGAATTTGGAGCTTCGCATAAATTCTTCCTAATATTATCTTGTCAAGAAACTCTCTATATATACATTTACACCTATCTACCTAACTAACCATACAATGTGTTCATTGTCTGACATAAGGAAGATGAATATCTTAGCACCTATAATGCCATAGACATAGTGTTGCTTCCATTCTTACTCTAGTTTCACTCTGAAAACATCGATATTTTCTAGTTGTAGATATTTTTTTCCTTTTTTTCAACTTTTTTATTTGAATTAGAATCAGGATTGTTTTATGCTGGGGAGAGACACAAGGCCTTGTTCCCAGTAAGAACATGCTGCACTATGTGCTATGCTCCACCCTTCATATAAAATTTATATTTAGGTTCAGCTACTCCTACATTAATTTCATGGGGAGAAAAGTTCATCTAACTGAAACAACTGGGGAGACAATTACTCAAATGAAGCCTGAGAAGAAGAATCCTATGGAAAAGTATGATATACAAAACTTTGTGGGATATACTAATCATGATTCATTTGTAGTTAAAGTAGGAGAGTTTGTCTCCAAAAGTCCACAAGATAAAGGCTTGTTCATCAATGAAGTTCTGATCAAGTGGCCAAGCAACTTCAATCAGGTCTGGCTGAATATCAACATTTAATATGTCATCAAATATCTGAAAAGAGCTATGATAATTGATTGCATAATGCCTCTATGAAATTTTAAAGTAACTTTGAGATTCTAAGTTCTTAGCTGTGGTGTGAGCTTATGTGCCTGCTCATGCATGTGCGTTCATGTGTTTGTTGAGGCCACAGTCCGCACTGGTTACCTTCCTCAATTGTTTTCATTTTATTATAAGCATGGTCTCAATCTCTCCAGATGTCACGTTTTATCTTTAGCTGTACTCACTAGACAGCATGCCCCAGGCATTCTTCTAGTCTGCATGACCACCCTATTGGGATTACAGACATACAGTTTGCAGCTGACTTTTCTGTACTTCCCTTCGGCAAGATCACGTTCAGGACCTCATTGCTTATGCAGGAAGCACATTGAATACTGAGCTATATCATTAGTCTAGTTTGATATCTTTAATTCTGAAATGAATCAATCTTTTGAATTTCACAAGTATATATACGTACATATGCATGTATACATATATGTACACACACATAAATATACATATATACATATACATACATATACATATATACATATATATATATATACAAAAGCAAACACATATTTTTAGCTAATTCTTGTAGATAGAATTGGAGAATTGGTGAATTGAATTTGAATTTATGTGTGTTCATTCATGCTGCAGTGAATGAAAAATCAGTGTTCATGAATTTATATACGAGTGTGTGTCTCTGTGTTCTTATACAGGCACACAATTGTGAATATACATATACACAGGATTATTATACATGTATGCTGATCTCATTTCATCCCTCATTTAACACAACCCATACACATTCATGTCCAAAGTCCTTGTAACAAAATAAATTATGGATTTTTATACAAATCATCTCTATAACCGATGTTTGTGAACTGCCTGATTTTAGTGCTGGGAGGTAAATTCGGGTTTCTCTGTGAGAGCAGTATACACTCTTAACTGCTGAGCCAGTGCTACAATCCTATATACTGTTCATATAGAGATATTTATAAGAGTGTAACAGAGTCTAACTTATGGCAAAAAACATGCAAAGGGAAGGATAGAATTTTTCCTAGCATTCACACTTTCTGAAAGTATTACCAAGCTGAGGTTGTGTTAGAAGTATACTGGCTAATATTATTAATTAAGGAGCCAATTGATATATTCCTAAATGATGACATCACTAACATTTGGAAGAAAAAGCAGGGCACTATTCTGAGCATATTCAAAGGTGAAAGTCACAGTAATGAACCATAATTCAGTGTCTACAGAAAATCTACATGTGATGGAGTCAAGAGTAGCTGTGACTATCCACAATTCCCAAACCCTCTTCCAAGGAAAGTGAATCAGAGTGAATGGTTGTGACTACAGACTGTGGAAGGTAAACATAGAAACAGATAAGCAAGAGTGACTTGGTTTCTGCCTCACTTCATCTGTTCCACAATTCATACAAGGAAGGAGTTCTGGCTTGCTGTTTCCCAGGAGGGAATATTCAGTTGTTAAAGACATTTCACAAAAGCTAGCAGAAGTCAAGCACAGTTTACTCACCATAAAGACACTTTGAAATTTTAGTTTAGTATCTGGAAGTGTGCTAACTTCCACTCTACACTCCATATAGAGAATTCATAGTGCCACATAACTGTATACAACTTTGATAGTCTATGTGAAGTTTAAATTGTTTAGCTTAAAAATATTCAAGCCTGTGACTGATGTGCAAATTTATGAAGAGTTTTTCTGTGTGTCCCTCAGAATCCTCAATCTGTATGTTCAGAGAGCTGTGGTCCTGGTTTCTGGAAACTTACAGAAGAAGGAAGACCTGCCTGCTGTTTTTCTTGTGTGTTTTGTCCAGAGAGGCACATTTCCAACCAGACAGGTGAAAAACAATACCTTTCCCCAAACTGTTTGTAAATGTAGAAGGATAAAGCTAAGAAGTGACCATTGTGTTGGGATGCAGCTTTGTTCTCCATGTCTCTTCCACTCATCCCTATATCCATTTATTAATAATCACTGCTGATGCCACACGATGTATGAACATTTGATTGGAAGCCTCATGTGATTGTGTCACCTACATCACTACTTCCAAAATCTGCCTTTCATTGAATGACAGTATCACCACAATTAAAGCAATGGTGTTTTAATTATTATGTGACAAGGGGACTTTCCTTTTGGTCCACTCTATTTGACGTTTTGTAAGCTTTTTGTAATTCATTGACATGTCTTTCTTAAGCTGGGAAAATTTTCTTCCATGATTTTGTTGAGTATGTTTTCTGCACCTTCTAGTTGGGTTTCATCACCTTCTTCTATACCTATTATCCTTAGGTTGGTCTTTTCATGGTGTCCAATATTTCCAGGATATATTGTGGTATGGATTTGTTGGACTTCAGATTTTCTTTGCTTGCTGAGTTTATTTCCTCTAGTTTAACTTCAGCGTCTGAGATTCTGTCTTCCGTCTCTTGTATTCTGTTGGTTATGCTTGCATCTGTGGTTCCTGATTGTTTACTCAGTTTGCCAGTATTTTATTGAGTATTATTGCATCAATGTTCATGAGGGATACTGGTCTGTAGTTCTCTTTCTTAGTTGTGTATTTGTGTGGCTTGGGAACCAAGGTAATGGTAGTCTTGTAAAGAGTTTGGCAATGAACCTTCTGCTTCTATTGTGTAGAACAATTTGAGGAGTACTGGTATTATCTCATGTTTGAATTTCTGTTGTATTTCTGCACTGAATCCATCTGGCCCTGGGCTTTATTTTGGTTGTCGGGGCTTTTGATGACTGCTTCTATTTCATTAGAGGTTGTAGTTTGATTTAAACTGCTTACTGTTCTTTGTTTAATTTTGGTAAGTGATATCTGTCCAAAAAATTGTCCATTTCTTTCAGATTTTCAAATTTTCTCGAGTACTGGTTTTCAAAGTATCACCTGATGATTCTCCTGATTTCCTCAGTGTGCATTGTTAGATCCTCTATTCATTTCTGATTTTGTTAATTAGCATACGCTCTCTCTGCCTTTTGGTTAGATTGGATATAGGTTTGTCTATCTTGTTGATCTTCTCAAAGAACCAATTATTTGTTTCATTGATTCTTTGTAATGTTTTCCTAGTTTTTACTTTATTGATTTCAGCCCCCAATTTGATTATTTCCTTGTGTCTACTCCTCTGTGGTAAATTTGCTTATTTTTGCTCTAAAGCTCTCAGTTGTTTTGTCAATGCTCTAGTGTGACTTTTCTCCTGTTTCTCCATGTGGGCACTTAGTGCTATGGACTTTCCTTTTACCATTGCTTTGGTTAATGATTTGGAATGATGAATTGAGGCAATTTCTGTTCAATGGTATTGTGGATGTTTCTGATATTTGTGGTCATTGTGTTGTTGAATTTAGAGTTGTCTTGTTCTCAATGGTGCTTTATGTTTTACTCAATATGCCTTCTTATTCTTTCCCCCATCTCTCTGATATGCTCAATGCTCTTTAGGCTGGCCATCATAGTTTTCAGGACTTGGTATGCTTTGTTCTAGGCTTTTCTGACACTCACAGATTCCATTCAGATATCTGCTAGTATTCTTGTTTTGGTTGGTATTATAAGATTTATTAAAATAAAGCTATGGGTTAATAGAAACAGCAAAGAACCAAAGAATTAAAATGTAAGCTATGTAAAATCCCAACTTACACCCAGAGGTGCTGCTAGTATTATTAGTGTCCCTTTATATTGATTTGTGTTTTGTTTTCTTTTCTTTCTCTTGCAGCTTTCAAAACATTTTTTATGTTATTAAAATTATAATTAAAATTCATTTAAAACTGTTTTTCATTGTTAGTACTTAGATTATGATATTCCGTAAGGATTTTCTTTTATGATCTTCTCTATTGGTGCCCTCTGTGCTTCTTCTATATGTATGGATGCATCTTTCCTTAGTTTCAAGAACTCTTCATCTATGTAACTGACCTTGTTGAACAACTGGTCTAAGTTGTTGACCTGGAATTCTTCTCCCTCATCTATGCCAATAATTTAAATTTCTGGTTTTCTCATAGTGCCCAACATTTCCTTTCCTGTTTTAATTTTCTATGGTTTTTTATTCTCTATTTTATCTTTGAATCCAAATTTTCTGCCTTCTGTATGATTCATTTGACTTGTAATGCTTTCCTTTTCTAGCTGTACTGTTTGTCTTTTCAATTCTGTTTTCATTTTACCTTGAGTCTTCTTCACTCTTACTATTTTCTTATTGAATTCCATGAACAAGTTGGATGGTCTGTATCATTTATTTCAGTCTTACATTTGTGTTCACTTGTTCATCACCAAGGTATTTATTCTCCTTGAGTAATTTCTTCTTAGTTTCATTGAACTGTTTTTTTGTGTCTTCTTTAAACCCCTATAAATTACTCTATGAAATGAATATACTGTTTTATATTCTGTGTCCTGAATTTTATTTGGTATTTCTCATTTGAAAACATTTCTTCCAGACTGGTAGGTATTGGATATAATATACTGGCTACATCTTTCCTATCGTTGACACCTTTTGTTGATATTTTGAGCATTTGAATTTATTGTAACTTCTAATATTCATACACAATGCAGATTGGGACAAAAGAAAGTATTATACACTTGACAAGCCTAGAGGTTTACATAGCCTAGGTGTAATTAAATCAATTGTTCAGAAGGGTCTGGGATGGCAGACAGCACATAGGCACTTTAGAGTTTTGTACTATTGTAGAATTATTGTTTGGCATAACTGAACAGGGTCCGGAATTTGAGAGAGGACACACTACTGCATATTTATCTGAGCACAGTGTAATTACAGTACTCATGCACCCACCCAACAGGAGCTCTATGATAGCATTTTTGCTTAAGAACAGAACAGAATTGTCACAATCCATGCCAATATTTGTATATGTCAGAATATTAAATTCTTAAAATATACAACCTGACTTTTCAACAGTAAATAAATAATAATGCTGAAAATTTATGTTAATAACTATAGAACACAAATATTCAACCAACATCAATATGATTACATTCAGAACCAAAATAATTCTTCTTTAAAAATATTTTAACCATACTCATGGTTGTTATTAAGAATGGTCACAAAAAAATGAAACTATATGTCCTTCCTATAACCTCTGCCTTCTGCCTGTCACCTAAGGTGAGTCTGGTCGCTGCCCTGCCAGCAAACTCCACCATCACTATCTGCTAGCTTCATCCTGAGCCTACCCCTGGACAAGAGTGGACCTTCCCAGAATAGAAGGCCAATCCTGAGTCTGGACACACCTCACCCTTTTCCTCCCTCCCAACTCTGCCCTCCACTTGCCACCTGTGAGAGGGAGACACCCAACCTGCACCCACTGGAAGAAGGGATTAAAAGATGACACAATAAGAGCACACTCAACAATAGAAAAACCAATATGACAACACCAGTATCTAGGGACTACACACCAGCAAGATCTGAAAATCCCAATGCAGAGGATGAAGAAGAGATGGCCCACAAAAATTATCTTATGAAGATGATAGAGACCTTAAAGAGCAAAGAAGAAAATCCCTTAACAAATAGAAGCAAAATTTTGAATGAAATGAAGGAACACAAACCAAAAAATTTACGAAGTAAAAGAAAAAAAAAAAAAAAAAACCTTAAAAAAATTAAAAAAAAAAAAAAAATACTCTGAAAATAAAAGGCACCAAAGGAAACAAGATGCTACACATTGTCAAAATGGAAAATACAACCCCGAAGAAGTGAAGGAAACAATCCAAACAGTTTATCAGTTTATGGTTTGAAAGCAGATTTAGAAACAAAAAGGAAAACACAGAATGACAGCTTTCTAGAAATAGAAAAGTTGGGTAAACCATCAGGAAACTCTTGATGTAAGCATAACCAATAGAATACAAGAGATGGAAGAAAGAATCTCTGGCGTTAAGGACTCAATAGAGGATAAACAGTCATCGACCAAAGATAATCTCAAATCCAACATGTCTCTAATGTAAAATATTCATGAATTATGGAACACCATGAAAATACAAAACCTAAGGATAGTAGGTATAGAAGAAAGAGAAGAAATTCAGCTCAAAGTTACAGAAAAAAATTCAATAAAATTATAGAAGAAAACTTACCCAACCTACAGAAGGATATACCTATGAAAGTACAAGAGGTTTACAGAACACCAAATAGATTGGACCGCAAAAAGAAGTCCCCTCACCACATAATAATCAAAATAACAAACGTACAGAATAAAGAAAGGATATTAAGAGCAGCAAAGGAAAAAGCCAAGTAACATATAAAGGCAGACCTATCTGATTTACATCAGACTTCTCAATTGAAACTTTGAAAGCCAGAAATTCCTAGATAGATATTCTACAGACACTAAGAGAACATGGATGCAAGCCAGGACTACTGTATCCAGCAAAGCTTTCAATCAATATCAATGGCAAAAACAAGAATTTCCATGACAAAACCAGATTTAAGCAATACATATCCACAAATCCAGCCCTACAGAAATTACAGGAAGTGAAACTCCAGCACAACGAAAATTACTACAAAGAAGGTAAAGTCATACAATGGAAAAAAGAAAACATCTTCAAGGAAAGTTGTTGGCATAACTGGATTCAGACATGTAGAAGATTGCAGATAGATCCACATCTATCGCCAGGCAGAAAACTTAAATTCCAATGCATCAAAGATCTCAACATAAATTCAGCCACACTGAACCTCCTAGAAGAGAATGTAGGTGGTACCCTTGAACAAATTTGTGAGGAGACTGCTGTCTGAACATAACACCAGTAGCACAAACATTGAGATCGACAATTAAAAAATGGGACCTCCTGAAACTGAGAAGATTCTGTAAGGTGAAGGACACAATCAGAAAGACACAATGCCAGCCCACATAATGGGGAAAGATATTCACCAACCCCACATTTGACAGAGGGCCAATCACCAAAACATAAAAGGAACACAAGAAGCTAGCCTCCAAAACACCAAATAATGCAATTTAGAAGTGGAGTGCAGAACTAAATAGAGAATTTTCAACAAAGGAATATTAAATGGCTGAAAGACACTTGAGAAAGTCCTGAACATCCTTAGCTGTCAGGGAAATGCAGCTCAAAACGACTCTGAGATACCATCTTACTCCCATCAGAATGGCTAAAACCAATAACACCAATGACAGTCTATGCTGGAGAAGATGTGGAGAAAGTGGAACACTCCTCCATTGCTGGTGGGAGTGAAAACTTGGAAGACCACTTTGGAATTAATTATGGCAGTTTCTCTGGAAAATGGGAATCAGCCTATCTCAAGAATCAACAGTTCCTCTCCTGGGCATATACCCAAAGAATGTACATTCATACAATAAGGGCATATGTTGAACTATGTTCATAGCAGCATTATTTGTAATAGCCAGGAAGCAACCTAGATGCCCCTCAAGTGAAGAATGGATAGAGAAATGTGGTACATTTACACAATGGAGTACAACTCAGCAGAAAAAAAAAACAATGGAATCTTGAAATTTGCAGATAAATGGATGGAACTAGAAGAAACCATCCTGAGTGAGGTAACCCAGTCACAAAAGATAAACATGATATGTACGCACTCATATATGATTTTTTTAGACATAGAGCAAAGGATTAACAGTCTACAATCCACACTGCCAGAGGAGCTAGGAAACAAGGAGGACCCCAAGAGAAGATTGCATAGTCCCTCGAAGAAAGAGAGGGCGACATGAACCCCTAAACATAGTGGGAACATGGAGCGTGGGTGGAGAAGAAGGAGGTGGAAAGGGAAGAAGGGGGAACAAGAGGACTGAGACAGGGGTGAGAAGAGAAGGGCAAGAAAGGAGATGCCTTGATAGCAAAGACAGTACAGGTTGGAGAGAGGTCTAGCAGAGGGGAAGTTTTAGGGGATCCACAGGGATGACCCCCACTAAGAATCCAAGCAGTGGTGGAAAAAATGCCATTGATGCCCTACCCCTATAATGAGATTGATGTCTACCTTGGTACCATTCCTAGATCCTTCATCCTGTAGCTGTTCAAAGCAGAAATAGGCACCCACAGCTAAGCAGTGGACCATACTACTGGAATTCATTTGTGGAGAGGGAGGTGGGTTGGGCAAAAGAGCCAAGATGGGGCTGGAGAGACCTGCAGAATCAGTGGACCTGACATAGTGAGAGCATGGAGACCCTAGTCATAAAGCTTGAGGAAACAACATTGGACCGAAACAAGCATTCTGAATGTGGGTGCCAGCTAGGAGGCCAAGGCAGTCTATTGAACTTCTAACAGTGGAGCCAGTCTTCAACCTAGAGCACAAATGGACTTTGGAAGCCCATTTCCTATGGAGAGATACAGTTGCAGCCCAGATACAGCAAGGAAGGCCTGGGCCCTTCCCCAAACCATATAACAGACTTTGAAGGTCCCTGATGGAGGGCCTCACTGTCCGTGGGGAGAAGTTGGTGGATGGGTAGGGAGGTTCCTGGGGAACATGGGAGGATTGCAGGGTGAGGGAATGGGGGATGGATATATAAATATGAGAGGTAATTAAAGAATTTAAATAAAAAAGAAACATGCAAAAATGAACTATATGGAATGGAAAAGAATATTCTGAAGCTGGGATTACAACATTTATAAAAGGTAAAAGAGTAGTAATCAGTGTGAGGTTAAATATTTGAAGTCTGCCAATACCTGAGATCTTGGTCAGCTGAAGGCTGCTGGGGTAGAGGGAATGTTATTTCTCCTTTGCCAAGGTACAGAACAATTCCCTACACACACATGCACATTGGTATTGCAATTGGAATTAATGATTAATTTTTAAAGTTTAATTTTAATTTTAAAGTTTAGTAGTCTTTTCTTGTTCGCTAGGTTTACTGTTTTAGGTATTATGTGACATAGAGACTTCTTTTCTGATCTAATCTATTTGGTGTTCTGTAAGCTTCTTGTAAAAAAAAATTAATAGGCATGCCCTCTTTAAGCCAGAGAAATTTTCTTGTTTGATTTTCTTTAAAGTACTTCCATGATATTTATGCTGAGAATCTGCTCCTTCTTCTATTTCTATTACTCTTAGATTGGTCTTTACATGATGTTAGAGATTAATTGAGTGTTTTATGGTAGGTGTTTCTCAGCTTTAATATCTTTTCTTAATGGCATTATTACTTTTCTCTTGCATCCTCAATGCCTGGGATTCCCTCTCCCATTCCTATATTCCGTTAGTGATGCTTGCATCTATACTACCTATTCTCTCACCTAGATTTGGCTTTTCCTGAATTCCCACAATTTGTGTTTTTATTGCTGCTATTTGATTTTCATGCCTTGAATACTTTCCTTACCTGCTTGGTTTTTTTTTTTTTTTTCTTAGCTTTGTAGCATTCTTTGAGGGATTTGTTGATTTCCTCTAATTTTTTGATTAGCATTGCATCAAATACTCTAGGTGAGTTTTTCACTTCCTGTTTAAGGACATTTCTTATCTTCCATGAAGTTGATTTTGAGGTCATTTTCTTGTGCTTTCACTGACTTGAAATATTCAGGTATTGTTGTCTAAGGATAGATGGGTTTTGCTGGTGTTGCATTGCCCTATCTGTTGTTTATTGTATTTCTTACCCTGCAATTTAGGCATCTTGGGTTGGGATGATTAGTTTTAGTCCCTGATTTCTGGATGGGTGTATTTTTTACTTGTTTCCTCTTTCTAGTATTTTTTTTCCTGGTTTTCTAGTAACTGGCACAACCTCAGTTCCACTTGGGAATCTGTTCAAGTTGACCCTTTCGTGGTTATCTTGGCCTTTCTTGTAGTTTGGGGACTGTAGACTTCTGTCTGTCCAATGTAGAGAGTTGACTCTCTGGTGGTTATCTTGGCCTTTGTCCTAGTTGGGGCTCTGTAGACTTCTGAGTGGTTTGTCCTTCACCTAAGCAGCTGGAGTCTGACCAAGCTGGTTTGGATTAACTTTAGAACTCTTTAAAGGATAACTGGACAGTTTTCCATCATCTGAAGAGGTTGATTACTATTTGAACTTCATTTGTCCAGAAAACATTTATAATCTTGTCATTACATGGAATATCCTGATGTAGACATCGCAGAAAAGGGGGATTCTAAATAGTTGGTTACCTTGGCACTATAGTAAAGCAGAATGTGCCAGGATGCATAAAACATCAGTGGAAGACACTCTTAGTGGATTGAATATGGAATGAGTAAAACCTTGTAGATGCTGAAATGTCGGTTCATTTCTCCCATAGATCAGCAGGAGTGTATCCCTTGTCCAATTCAAGAGTACCCAAACCCTGAGAGAAACAACTGTCTTCCCAAGTCAATGACATTCCTATCTTTGGAAGATTCTCTCGGGTTGGCTCTGGTCTGTGTAGCTCTCTGCTTCTCTGTCAGCACAGCTGTAGTTTTGGGGATCTTCCTCAAACATCAAGACTCGCCCATCGTTAAGGCCAATAACCGGACACTCAGCTTCATCCTGCTCATCTCCCTCCTCCTCTGCTTCCTGTGTTCCCTTCTCTTCATTGGCCAGCCAAGCACAGCCTCCTGCATATTACAACAAATTACATTTGCACTTGTGTTCACTCTGCTTCTTTCCACTGTTTTGGCCAAAACTATAACTGTAGTTCTGGCCTTTAAAGTTGTAAAACTAGGAAGAACAATGAGAAGACTGTTTGTCTCGGGCATCTATAACTCTGTCATCCCCATCTGTTTCCTGATGCAGCTTATTCTCCTGGGAGTCTGGATGGGAACCTCACCTCCCTATATTCAAGCAGATGCACATTCTGAACATAGTTACATCATCATTTTGTGCAACAAGGGCTCAGTCACTGCTTTCTACTGTGTGCTGGCATACTTGGGGATCCTGGCCCTAGGAAGCTTCACTGTGGCTTTCCTGACTATCTCATAAAATACATTAGTAAAGTTAAGTTAGTTACCTATTTTATAGCAAGTTTTTTCTGAAAGGTATATTTAAAAAAATAAAAGATTCCCCCACTTTGTGTCATATACAGTCTACCTCAGATGTAAATAATTGCTGAAAAACCTCCTAGTAAGTTATGCATGTTACATATTAACTTGTAGCCCATATAAATATTCCAATTCAATTACATGACAGTAGCTGAAATAAGTAATACATGAACTAAATGTTTTTAATTTTAGTCTTTTAACTTTTTGGAGTAAAGCATAGCTTTGTGTGGTAGTTTAGATACTTCCATAGAGCAAGCAAAGAACTTTCCCTCTGCTAAAGGATCTTGCAAACACATCCAATAACTCCAGAAATCAGGTGAAGAATTCTTAAAAAACTAAAGATAAATCTTACTGTTCCTTGACATATGCACAAAGGAAGTGACATCTTACTCCTGAGATACTTTCTTGGCCATTCTCATTGCTTTTCTTCAATAATATATAGGAAATGGAAACACCTCAATGTCCTTCAGTGGATAAATGGATAATGAAAATGTTGTACACATAAATGGGTAGAGATAGAAAAATATATGTTGAGTTAGGTAACTCAGACTCAGAAAGACAAATGACACATATTCTCTCTATTCTGAGGCATCTAGTTACAATCTTTAGATGTGAGGATTCACCCTGAGATAAGTGTAGAAACCATGAGAGGGTAGGGAAGCAATGGAGGGTAGAATATCAAGGTAGAAGTGATTTGATTTGGGAAATGGGCAAAAGGGAGTACTCAAATTGTGAATAATGTAGTGATTCATCACGAACTTCTAAATACATTGTTAATCATAAACATGAATAATATTGAAACTTGAAATAAGGAAGTAGGTTTAATAACTGTAAGGTATATCTGAAAAATCATAATCAAGTGTCCTATGAACTGTCTCTCTAAATATATCCATAATATATATAACTACAAGCATAAGTATGCAAATGTAAAATTTAAAGGGAAAATCTACAACCATTACTTTATTTTTATTTATTTACTTATTTGTTATTAGTTTAAATTCGGAACAAGCTTGATTCACATGTCAATCCCTTCTCCCTCTCCCCTCCTATCCTAACCCGACATATCCCCACCCCATCCACCATCCACTCCCCAGGCAGGGTAGGGCCCAATGGGGGCGCCGCAAAGTCCACCACATCATCCTGGGCTGGACCTAGGCCCTTACCCAAGTGTCCTGTGCAAGACTACATCCCTTCACATGGGATGGACTCTCAAACTATCTTCTTACACCAGGGAAAAATACTAATCCACTACCAGAGGCCTCCTCATTGACATACATGTTCAGGAGATTGGATCAGTCCTGTACTGGCCTCTCAGATAGCTTCTGGGGTCGATGTGTTCCCACTTGTTCAGGCCAGCTGTCTGTGGGTTTCTCCAACCTGGCAACAACCCTTCAATCTTCATTCCTCCCTCTCTGCAACTAAATTCCAGAGTTCAGTTCAGTGTGTATCTGTGGATGTCTGTCTTGGCTTCCATCAGCCACTGGATGAGGGCCCTAGGATGGCATAAAAAGTAGTCATAATTCTCATTTTAGGGGATGGGCGTTTAGGTTATCCTCTCCACCCTAGCCTGGATTGTCAGTTCGTGTCATCCTTGTAGGTCTCTGGAAATTTCCCTAGTGCCAGATCTCTCCTCGGACCTATAATGGCTCCTTCTAATATGACATCTCTCATCCTGCTCTCCTCTATTCGTCCCCCAACTCAATATTTCTCCTCCTCCATGTCCTCCTCTCCCCGCCTCTTCTCCTCCTCTCATTCTGGCAGCTCCCTGTCACCTACCCTCATGCTCCCAATTAGCTCAGGTGTTCCTGCCCCTTCCCAATTCTGGGGTCCATGCAGTTATCCTTAGAGTCCTTTATGTTTCCAAGTTTCTTTGGTGAAGAGGATTATAGGCTAGTAATCATTTGCTCTATGTCTACAATTCATATATGAGTGAGTACATAACATATTTGTCTTTTTGTGACTTGGTTACCTTGCTCAGAATGGTTTCCTGTAGTTCCATCCATTTGCCTGAGAATTTCAAGATTCCATTGCATTTTTCTGCCACACTGATTATTATCACTCAATAAAACAATGTATTATTCAGGCCAACTGTTCCTGTGAGTTTCTCCAACCTGGTACAGACCCCTTCGCTCTTCATTCCTCCCTCTCTTCAACCAAATTCCCTATTTCAGCTCAGTATATGTCTGTGGATGTCTGTCTCTGCTTCCATCAGCCACTGGGTGAGGCCTGTAGGATGGCATAAAGAGCAGTCATCAATCTCATTTTAGGGGAAGAGCTTTTAGGTTATCCTCTCCACTATTGCCTGCATTGTCAGATTGAATTGATGGACTGTCTTAAAGGAAGCTTCTCATTTTCAAAGGAAATATCCCTGGCTTCAAATACTTTATTGAGACACTTACTACCTACCTGTACCCAGGTGACATTTACTTCCATAAATTCTGGCTGGACAATTTTTATTGTTCACTTCTGCCTTTGCTATTTGGAAATCACAAACGCTGTCCATGAATATGTCACAGTCACTAACTCTTACCTCTACATCAGACTGAAAGGTGATCCTGGCTCTACCAAACCTCAGACAGTAATCTCAGACTGTAACCCCAGACTGCTATGTTCTCCTCGACATGGCTGGAGAAAGCTGAGACTGAAGGTCTGCTCTGAGACCTTCCTCCCTAATGCTGGAATTAAAGATGTGTGGTTCCCAGTGTTGGGATCAAAAGCATGAGCCCTGTTACTCTTCACTCTTGTGTAGGCTATGGTGGTCTTGAACTAACAGAGATCTGTCCACCTGAGTCCTAGGATTAGAGATGTGTACCACCACTGTCTGTTCTCTATCACTTGCTGAAGAATTTTCTTTCTTTATCAAAAGCAAACATAGAAAATCATAAATAATATATCACCACATGATATTCCTTGCATATATTTTCTTAGGACTGGCCATGTGGTATTGAATGACAGTTGGTGTGCTTTTAAACCCTGGGAAGAACATTACTCCTCCATCTCTCAACATTTCTTAATTATGTTCTGTGTGGAATGAATATCTAGTGGTCATTCTCCTGACCACTTTGGCAGGTCTGTGGCTTTGTCTCCACTCAGTTTCACATGTTTAGGCAGCCATGTTGATAGGCATGGCTTTACGCTCTGATATTACTAGGAGACACAATCTCTAATAAAATTCCCTGAACCTCTGATTATTACAATTACTCCATCCCCCAATCAAATGTTTCCTGGGTGTTAGGTTTGGGAATGGTTTTGCAGACTTAACCACTGGAGATGCCCTCAACAACTGTGCTTTTTTTTATTAGTCTGTAATGCTCTCATCTGTTGTGAAGAGAAGTTTCCTTTCTGCTGGGTGGCTGGGGCAGCGAAGGCTAAAATTATCTGTAGGTATTGGGACAAATGTTTACAGATTGTTGTGGTGATAAATTGTTTGTGATTTAATAAAGCTTGCCTGAAGATCAGAAAGCAAAGCTATCCACAGCCATAGAGACCAGGCAGTGATGGCACACATCTTTAATTGAAGAACTCAGGAGACAGAGGAAGATGTATCTCTGTGAGTTCAAACCACACATGGCTTGAGAAAGAGCACATACCTTTAATCACTTCACTAAAGAGGTGTATAAGAGAGGAGCTGGGTCTGATTGTACTAATTCTTGGGCAATTGGTCTACAGCCACTTTGAGTACAGGATCTCCCCAACCTTGGTAGAGGTAAGAGCTCTTTGGTAACTTAGCTGCTTTGATATTCTTATTTTCATCTTGAACTGAAATAGCTGTGTCTGAGTTTTTATTATTTACGCTAGAGATGGTTGTTACAGAGTATGCTGGTTTAGTAAATTATTCTAATAAATTGTTGTAGATTCTCCTCCAATAACTATGACTTCACTAGCACTGAATACTGAGGTAACAGACAGAGGCATGCTTTCTTTTTGCTGACTGGTTTTTTATTCCCATACAGAGAGCTCTTAATCACCATCAAGGAATGCATGGCAATTCTGCACACTTAGGGTCGTGTGCTATGATGGCCATTGTCACAATGGGGTAGGAATTTTGGTTGTCTCCATCCCTTGGAATCCTGCATGATGTCTTTTGGTATCATGAAAGCTAGTTCATAAGGAAAGGGCAGCCATACCAGTTCCAGCTCCAAGGGTCTTCAGGCCATTTGTGAAGTATATGGTTTCTTAAGTAATACAGACTCACTTTCCAACTAACAGGAAAAACATGCACAACAGCAATAGTGTCCATGTTTTGAGAGTCTCTTCAACAACTCTAGAGAATACCTGAAAAGAGAGTGTCTCATGTCTGGTACTGGGTTTATGTATATAGACTTGGTCTTGGAGGGAAAAGCATCAGCCAGATGAGAATCATTTACTAAAACTATATGTATGAGTATAAGATAATTAATTGTACTTTAGGGTTGATTTAAGGTAAATTATAACATTATGATTATTTCTGGGCTTTTCAGACACTCTTATTGATATTTTACACACTTCCCTCCTTCTTCTGTATTTACTTCTCTTCAGTTTTCCTAAATCACCCCTCCCTGCTTTCCCTTCCACATCACACATATTTTGTTCAGACATCCTTACTGTTACTTCACACTGGGCAATCCTTCAACTGTATTTATCTCCTTCTTACCTAGTTTATTGGAGTGTCTCTCTTTTGCATTTCTCCCTTTAGGTTATTTCTTTCATGCTATTTCACTCTATTTCTTCCCAAGTTCTTGAAGTGGTCCTGGTCATTTTTCCATCTTTTACAGTTTCTCACATGTACTCACACCTGAAAATTTGGAATTAGAAACCTTAGATGAGAAAGAACATGTGACATTTGTCTTTCTGAGCTGATGTTTCATGACTCAGTTTGATCTTTTCCAGTTCCACCTACATACCCACAAAGCTTACATTTTCAGTTTCTTTTATGCCTGAATGATATTATATGGTGTGTAT